CCGACTGGAAGGGGAATACCGCCAACTAGCTCTTGGTCACTACTGTCAACTCCTGGGCATTCTTGATGGGTATAACAGAGCGGTCGGTGCTAGCACTGAAGCGAAGGTAGGATGACGAAGGAATGAAACTAATCTCTGAAGGGTCCAACGAAACCTCGCGGTCTCTCTTACATACGTACAAGTACGCATCGAAATTCTGCTTTCGGTATCCGGATCGGAGTGCAGATTTCAGTCAAATTCGTGGCGCGTGAGGGAAGATACGGCCCTTCTACGGGTTCTCGGCTGCAGCTTGCTCACAAGGCTTTGAAACACCCTTCAAAACCACAAGGGTGTTGACTGATGTAAATATCTATTCCATTCAGTTCACTCCGTCGGCGAGTAAAAGCATCTTGACTTACTTGGACATCCTAGCGATCAATGCAGATGGGCAGTTACCAGAACTCCAACAGATCAGTGAGAGACACCTACCCAGGGTGGGCCCTTCATCGCGGCTCAGGTCGGGAGCATCCGTCTTTGGCGGAGATCCACCCACATAAACACGGCAAGAGGAGTCCATCACTACCGCTGATGAGAGTCCCACAGCGCTGCAGCGCCCTCGTTAGGCTCGTACGGGATAGCACAGGCACTATCAGTGACGTTATCTCTGCGCAGTAAGATGAGATGCTCTTTTGGATTTTTGAGGAATTTTTGGTAAATCCATGTTGGCTTTGGTACACTTCTACCCGAATTCGTATGAATACTTCTGTAATCAGTGAGGAAACTTCTGAGCTCCGCTGAGGGAAGCGAACATAGTCTATGTTACATAGATCACGCATGCTATATGCTTTCTTTTGGTGGCTCTTTTGAATTTACTCCTCCAGTACCACTTGGGAAAGTTTCCCTGAGATGGTACGGATAATGAAGGAAATCTCGGCCCCCATGGTCCTGCAGGACAGGTCGGATGCCACCGTGCAGTTCTCGAGCTATCCTGGTTGCATCAGCAGTAAGAGCTTTTCGCGAAGGTTGGTGGGGCCTTGTTGTGGGATAGGTACAGACGACTGGGTGGTGCGACCATCGACGTGGTTGGTGACTTTTGAGACTACTACTAATATAATGCAACCTGGTCGGTTTGGAACACCTGAATTCACTCCAGACTTCATCAGAATAATGATAGTGGTGGCCTTAGCTCATGACACGAGCTCGTGGAAGGATATTATGGAGACGTGTGACCTTCCTAGTGGCACTTATAATTCACAGTGGATAGTTGTCGACTACCAAAAAGCGAAGGAAGCGGTTGATGACAAGTTGAACCAGCTTCCAGATGGAACTGTGTTGGTCATGGAAGGCGCTCCTGGAGCAGAGGAGAACGAATACGGAGTGTTCGAGTCGCGAGATATGTCCGATCATGTGAGTCAGAGCGGTCACTATGCGGGTTTCAATGAGGCTATGTTGCCAACGACGAGGCGGCACTTGGGATATGACAGTCCCTATCCCCAAGATGAGCGTTATGGTGTTTTCCAACAACTTGCACCGATGGTTCATAATGTTGCTACTATGTATTCGGTGATGCAATTTAACGAACCGGGAAATAGAGGAAGTATTGCGCCATTGAATGCTGAGGATGGCGGCGCTGATGTGAAGATCACCAACTTGGCTACGATGAAGGAGAAGGGCGGTACGTGGGCGTACAGCGGTCCGCCGCGGGTCGGCGGATATGAAGTCGATGCTAAAGCGAGAAGAGACGAGTATGTTCAGCAAGAGATGGCCTATTACTTCGAAGCTCCCCAGGCTAGGCCCAGTTGGGAGTTCCCACTAGTACTTTTCGTCGCCCAAGATCAGCGTATGTGTGTGTCGAAACGATGCCAACCAGATTTCGTGACGGACCCGAGGGAATTAAATGCGAGTAGCCCTAGGGTGTCCATGAGTATGAACGGTGATGATTGCCATTATCTTTGTGTGGAAGAGGAGTGAGCGCATTCCTGCCGACTCGGGAACATCATGTCACAGTAACATGACCTGAGCTGTCAATACGTCGCGTGTTGTGTTATATATTCGGGCTGCCACTCATGAAGCATCGCGAGATTAGAAATGCCGTAGTTAAGTGAATGACTATCGGTTCCGGGGAACTGAACAATGACAAGTAATCATGGGACGTTACTGTGCTGATCACAGTCTGCCCGTCACGAGAACCCACAGGGCGCACGCGACTGAACGATACTGTTGTGCCAGTGGCTAGACCATTGTGCCACGTTGTTTCCTTGCCTCCCAATTTTCGGTCCGAACACAATTGTCCCTCCGTGCTAAGGTGCTGCAAAGCTAGAGCTAGTTGTAGCTCATACGTAGTTCGTAATCATAGTTGTAACATAACATATCCTGATACGTTCTACTCTATTGTACGTCCGCTCTCGTACAAGGCTAGCTCTGCTCACTTGTTGTGTATTGAGTTCTATTATTAGGAGGTTACCATCTCTTCAGCTACTACAGCACGTCATGTGGCGTGAGGCACTGCGCAGAAACGAGATTTTAAGGATTCTTACGCTCTTTCTACTATCCCTAGCGACCTATCTCGCTCTAAATCTGGCATCGCGTTGGTAAATCTAATCCTAACACGAAAAGAAATTTGCACTTCTACTGTTTGAATCACAGCGCATGCGCCGAATCTAGATTGCCGTGTCGTATAGTTCCTGGGACGATGCTTTCCCTATCCATTCGGTATACCTTACCTGAGATCTGACTTGCCTTCGTTTGTTATACGTTGAATCTTATAATCGGCGTGCGCTAATGTTCCGAGACGGGACAGGTGAGACGAGACCCTGTAGTTGTAGGTTTTATGTTCGCTCGCCCAAATTAGGACCCTCCCCACAAGGGGCTCGCTGGATGTCTTCGAATCCCGGAAGGGTGGTTTGCACCGAGGCAACTCGAGATGCGCAAGGAGCTAATTCCGTATAACGGCTATATCTATCAAGTGCTCCGTTATAGTATAGGGGGAGTAGGACCCTGTACTCTGTAGAACCTCTACATCCCCACCCTCGGGCTTCCAACGTGTTGATATAGGTGGTTGTAGTGAGAGGAGCGTCGATTAGTACAGTACTAATAGTACTTCAGTCAATTGATCACCAACTTGTGGTAACTCAATATCTTGAGGAGACCAATACGCCGGTACAGGCTCATTTTCACGCGGAAAGGGTGGACTTGTTAATGGCGAATGAACGCATGCGCATAACGAATGTCGCAGCGCGACAGTCGCGCTTCACGCTCGCACAAAGACTCATTACGCAGGTGCAACAGTAAGAGTCTCGAAGGGAGTCGAACGGAGTCGATTTAGCCACGGTTTACCGCGAAGCAACCATATGGCTAGTACGAACTACAAGCTACTGGCCAATCGACCAGATAATATCCAGTTCACCTCATATAGAGGTGCTTGTGCGGACGTCTACCCATCCGATGTGCCTTCGTGCATTCGCGTGAGACTCACGCCATGAGTCATAGGCGAATACGAAGGCCGGGAGCCTGGAGAACTTTGGAGGTCTCTCCCTCTCGGGTGCATCATAGCGTGGTGTTATTTCGGCAGCGAGTTTCAAAGCATATTCCGATGACTATCCAGTGCCGTTGCAGGCACTGAATTGTCCTGCACGTAGCTACATCCATAGTCCGAGTGACACTCGGCGAATATTCTCACCAAATAATTGCTCGATAGTTTGGTCACTAGTAGCCTCAAGAGTATTTCTTACTCCTTCTATAATGAGATTGCTCACCTGCTTGCTGTCTGGCATCCTCTACTTGGAGGCAATGACGGCTCGTGCACTGGAGTCGAAGCCCCGTTCAATCTTCGCCAGACTCCGGAGTAATGTATTCAAACCCGCCATGAACCGCGACGTGGCCCCATCTGTGGTTATGGACGGAGAAACCTTGGATTATCGCTTATACCAGAAGGGTGACAAATTCGGCCTCATTTCGGACGTCGTAGCCGCTGACTGTCAGCTGCATCTTTGCTGGGTCGGAGTGGAACGCAAGACCAAGGTGAGGATTTCCCATTCGGTTATCGTGCGGAGTGGTGGATTGGTTAGCTTATACTCTCAGGAAGTCATCGCCGTGGTCGAAGTGGTTATTCCTGATAGAACTGCCACTAAGGAGATCACTGATGCGCTCAGAGCCAAGATGTGAGCGGGTTTCCAACCGGCTAGTGCACCCGTCTCCCGTCGATGGGCCCGACTGAATATTCGCGTTTAGGCCCGAACCAAGCAAGACGAAACCGAATGGAATAATCGGCCACATAATCGTTGTAGGATGCGAGTCCGGAAAGGTCCGTCAGTGACTGCTTGAATCGCAGGTGGAGGTCGCTAAATCTTACAAGAGGAAGCAAATTGGCACGAAGTTGATGACAAAGACCTTTGAAGATGTAGTTCAGCATCGAATTCCAAAATGAAAATCTCCAATGATGGTTAGTCTTTTGCTCCCACTCAGGTGAACGCGAAGTTTCCAAACTTGGCGGCTTTGTATCTCAAGGTTTTCAAGACAAATCTTCCCGCCATAGCTTTTTACGAGTCTTTAAGACTCGTCAAATTCCTAGGTAAGACTCATTTTGACCTGTGACGGCACCGATGCTGGTCATGTTCCGGCCTGTCGCGGACTGTCCGTGGGCAGAAAACAACCGACGCCGTCCCATGAGGGATATAGTTTTGTCGCAATCGCTTCATTATTCGGTTTGGCTGTCTGACAGTCATCGTCTCCGCCACACCATTCCCAACCTGTTGTCAGATGACGCATCCGCATTCTACTACGCTCGCTACTTCTAACAGATCTGCAAGCGGAGAAGGATTGCTGTATCTCAAGGATCTTATTTTGCTCAATGCTGATTGTGGCTCATTCTCGCATAGTGAACCGAAGTGGCATTGAGCTTCGATACCAGTTTCGTCCGCATTAAGTAAGCCAATACAGCAAAAACCGTTTTTGTAGTTCGATCGACTGTCGTGGTCTCGCTTATCGTGGTCTCTCTGGGCATCTGTATAACGCAGATTGCATTGGTTGTTATATCAGTCGCTTAGGTTCGTGATGTCATGGTCCATGACTCATGGAGACATCACCTGCGGGCCCTCGCCAAGTTATTTTTTTGCGAGTCGCATTCCCTCTATGGGAAGTCATTCAAGTTATGGATTTCGCTAAGGCACATTTTCCTGAACCACCCTATTAATTTTATGAGTGTAGCCCTTCGTCACGCTACCGAAATTATCGACGGTGTACTATTCCGAATAAGTTATGGCGCAAGGAGGAGTTGTGTTACTGAAAACCCACGAGAGGGGTTAAGTCTGAAGTCGACCGAAACCAAGCTCAAAGAAGTGAGCGATTCGAATGAGTCTCAACATGTTTGAAAATTACAGAATATTTCAGAATTGTTGGATCAGTCTCGAAACTGGGGCGTGTAAGTAATATAAATCGTTCACATAAAATCAGCTTATAAACATGTTGAAATGATGAGCCCCATAGAAACAGACCCGAGGGAATTGAACATCAGTAGCCCTAGAGAGTCCATGAATACGAACAAAGATGATTGTGCTTACTTCTGTCTAGAAAGGGCCGATTCGGGATCATCATATCACAGTAACATGACCTGGGCTATACAGAGAGAATCTCTGTAGTGGAAGCAGCACCGAACCTAAAGTGTTGAACCAATAACCGTAGACTGTTCGTTGACACTCATTCACGAAGATCAGATGGCGCTACTTTCAGGCTTACATCCTGTAGACGTTCTCTTACCGAGCGGCGCTCTTTCCACAAGTTGGTGTTATTTGAGCCGAATCATTAGAATTAGTTTCTGTGAGGTGATAGTCATAATACAACAGCGAGTCCAAGCGAATTATAGTGAGTTCCAGTAACTGTAGTCGTGCATTCTGCACAACTATGGAATCTAATCTATAGTTTTATGGTAGTTGATGATTTTATGAGGATGATTGTGTATAAAACCTCTAAATTCCGTTAGCCCCTTCAATGGTTAACAATAACTCACACTGGATCATCACTATTTCGACATGCATAACAAATGGCTAGTAGTGATCAAAAACCTGCAATGGTGAACTCTCAAGAGAGATTCCGCATATAGTATGCAACGGTCTTCTTTTCCACCTTGATCGTGGAACGGCCATTGATGGTCTTTTGCCGCCAAAGAAGTTACCATGAGCAAAACTTCCTGATATATCCTAGAAGATCCTTCGTGTTGTCTTTAAGAAGCCTTCTAGTATCTCCACAGTCTCCGTGGTCTCATGTTGCGAATCTCTTCAGCTCTCGTTCAGCTGCCCATCCTGTACATTCATAGAGATAGTGGGTTATGTCCACAACCACGTCTTCGTCACAGTTCGAGTAGTTCTCATTATCACCGAGAGCACGACACCGGCCATACCGCACTTTGGACAAATGGCCCGATGCAATAGCCATTGTACTCACTAAACTCGACGAGTATTCCGGTTGTCAATGAAATCGCTAATCTGCATTCATGTTGGCATGCTGGTTAGCCAAATGACGACATGGGTTGGATGATGGACAGTTACCACAAGCATTTATTAATCAAATATGTGAATTCGCACAACAATGAACAGTATACAGTAGTAGTGATGACACACAATTATCCCATCGTTCGGGGAAGTGTGGTATGAACAATTTCCTACAGCTGAACACAGTGGTTGTTAACCGGCTCACCGTTGCTACAACTCTGAGGTTGAATGCACAAGTCCAGATCTTGGTCGTATCTGACAACTTGTTGGAGACAGCCTTGGATGAGATATTGTTCCTGAAGAAAAACAGCAAGCTCATGGAAGCGAGTCGAAACGTCCAATAATGTGATACCGTGTGGGAAAATAAGAACGTCTTGAACTACATGTGCTGGTGATAATATGAAAATTCTGAGAAAATTTTGGGAAATTCTTATTGGTTTTTGTACATTTCTACCCGAATTCGTATGTAACCTTCTATAGTTAGTGAGGAAGCTCAATGAGCTCAACTGGGGAATGCGAATATATATTTCGATACGGCGGCGATTTGCGCCAGGAGTGGTAAGAACTATCATAAAAAATGCCATAATGAGAGAAACACTAGAAGCTACCGTGAGAAGGTCACCAGACCGCGTACTTTCTTGAGATGCTCCAAATCGGGCTTCTCCATGAACTTGAGACTCTTACAGAGCAGTTGACTACTCTTACCGCACCCTTTTAATGCTGCCAGCTCATTAAGGACATGACACGCGTTTATCACAGCCAGACGCTCGTGGGCTGAGTCGCCCAGTGAGATTACGCAGCGACGACGACTGAAAGTGGCAGTGAGTGAATAGCTGTTACGAAGGCTCTCACCCAGTTACGGGTGAGCTCGAGAAATGCTCAGAGATTGCTTGTTTGAACGACTGGTCTTTCCATTCAAAAGCCGATGCAAAGCCCTGAGAAAATACGCTTAAATTTTAGCTCGGCGAAGCTAGTGTGCGACCTGAGGCTCGTAAGTGGTCCGAGCTGAGATGTGGTGGATGTTGTTCAACGTGGGCAGTAGGGATGGGAGGAACTTAGCACAAGTGAGGGGAATCCAACCGGCCTCGGCGTTGGTAACTATTATCACTGTGCCTAGTACGGTAGTAGCATGATGACTGGTCGGTGATGGAGTTCCCACCGAATTCCAAGGCTGTCAGCAGAGTGTCTTTAACGAGGACAGCGTAGTCGTTTAATGCCGCCATTAACGCTGGCGGCGGGCTTGGGCCGTCTACTCGGAGACCCTATTCAACAATGTGGTGGGAGTTGAGACAGAGATGGTACTACTACTACTACTACTACTACCCATTGAACGGTGAGGTAACGGGTTGGGAAAATGGTATCATCCCAGTCGAAAATTATAAGAGTATCTTCTTTATTAACGTAATGACCATTGATAACATCAGATGAATCTTCCCTTGACGAGTCGCTACTAGAAGTAGTAGACGCTCCCGCCTCGGTAGAATCAAACGAGTTGTTACGCCGGCCCGTAAATCTGGTGAAAGTCGTAGACGAGCCCATGAGGACAGCAGAGGTGGTTCTCACATGCTCGTAGTAGCGTCGTGTCTTCGGACACCGTATTCGGTGGTGACCTCAGGAAAGGCTTTCTTACCAGCAAAAGGAATGGAAACGGTCGGAGAAGTGCCACCGGTCATTGGAGTTTCACCCTAGTGATATGAAAAACACTAGTAAAAAATATATCGCAAATATCGCGTTTTTCACCGAGTTTTACGCCACTTCACGTGAAACGGGTGAAGCTCCATTCAACGGTTGCTAATGCCGCAAGAACAAACGCCTCTCGCTGATAAGTCTACCAATCGGGCTTTAAATTGAATGTTTCCTGTTTTACAAGGAAACATAATGCAAGTCGCCTGGAGTTTAAGAGCAACTTTAAAAGTACTCAACTCATTTCACAACGTTAAGGAGTAACTTGAAGAGTTACTCGGGTATACTTTAGAAGTACTCAGAGGCCTTACTTGAGCTCATTCTGTGTTGTTATTATTATATTCATATATTTATCATTACATATAATTATATTAACATATATTATAATTCATTCCATAATGGAATGAATTTCCATTAGTACTAATTTATTCATATACATTCCATATAATTATCATCATCATATTACAATCTTACTTACTCTGATACTTACTCTTAAGGCTGAGAGACCAATGAAACGTACTAAGAATTTTTCGAGTTTGTTAGTTTAAATTTCTAACCTTATCTTAAGGGGTTAATGAAAGAGGCCCATCTACTCCCAAAACTGCTCTGGTAATTTCGTGGCGCGTGACGTTTTTTCCCAATCTCGTGCAGACGTGCGTGACTTTTTTTCCTTCCCACCTTATGGTTTCCGCCTGTCCACTAGGCTTCGGTGGGGAGCCCGACTCTATCCAAGCCCCTTATAACGAAGGGGCGGCTAGGGAGGTAGTCTTCCCTATATTGTGATGAAATTGCACTTGTAACTTTCAGCTGAGCTCAGGAGTTTACATACGAATTTGGGTAGAAGTGTACAGAAACCAACAAAAATTTTCCATATTGTCACCAACACACGTAGTTGACCGTGTGAAGTTCACCCGCACTGTTTGAGAGCAACCCCCTCACTCTGTTCAGGTTCCTGAGGCTACTCCGTTGTCTAAGGAGCGAGTAACCTCCACTATACCTGGGGTGGATGGTGATATGTTCAAGTATCCTAGTGAGGAACAGTTTTATAGGACTGTTAAGAGGTAGGCTCCAGGGATGGTGACACGGTTGTAGTGTCACCATCACAGCTGTGTGTGGGGGGATATGCACATGTGTTGGTGACAATATGAATATACTAAGCAAATTCGCAGTGGTTTCTGTACATTTCTACTGTACACGAATTTCTATATAAATTCTATAACTGATGAGGAAGCTCTCGGACTTAGCTGAGGAAAGCGAACATATTTCAAGCTTGAGTATCTTCCCTAGTGTCACCACTACTGTTTTTGCTAGGAAAGGTCATGCTGTTGATGCTGCGGACATGCGTACTGTTGTGGCCATCCATAACGCCGTCAATGAGAGTAAGGGGCAGTGGGGTTCTTTTGAGGGAAACCTTCGTCACTGTGAAATGCAATATAACCAGTTATTGGAGTTTCACCCGTTTTACGTGAAGTGGCGTAATACTGTGTGAAAAACGCGATATTCAGTAGTCGTGCAATATGTTTTCCATTTCACGGGTGAAATTCTAATACAAGCATTTATATATGAAATTAATACACAGTCTATCGTATGATATTATCTTTAATACCGTACATCGCTCAATATGATTCCAAACTAAACACCAGGCGTAATAGCTGTGCTCAGGAGCATGGCATCAAATAAAGGAGGTAGAAGGTCGGCTCCATGGGAAAGAGTGTGCCAAAGAAGCACTACGGCTAGTCAAGTTCGTTGGTCGGCCAGGTAGTGAAGGGTGCTGGGGTAGAACCCGCGACCTTTGGAATGAAAGACCAGCTGCTCAACCAGGTGAGGTATCCCCGAAGTCGCGATTTATGCGCTTGTTTGGAGGCTGGGCTGAGCCGTTCGATCGTCATGATTGGTATATCGATCGCTGCGGCACTACTGTGAGGTGAGCCGTCCCCCAGTGTTGGAGGAATATATATTCGCTTTTCTCAATTATGAATTTCCTCACTAGTTGTAGGAGTTTATATACCAATTCGGGTAGAAGTGTACAGGGACCAAGATAGTTCCTCGAAAATTCCTCACAATTTTCATGCTGGAGTTTCACCCTAGTGATAAGTGAAAACATATTTTACCACTACTGCATAGCGCCGCGAATATCACGTTTTTCACCGAGTTTCACGCCACTTCACGTGAAACGGGTGAAACTCCATTGTTGCCCACACATGTAGTTGACCAGTGTGGGAAAATATGCACATATGTTGGTGACAATATGAAAATTCTGAGGAATTTTTTTGGGAAATTCTGGCTGATTCCTGTATATTTCTACCCTACTTAGCATATGAACTCCTATAATTAGTGAGGAAACTTCTGAGGCCAGCTGAGGGAAGCGATTACATATATAGCAACACTGCACTTGACCATGTGCATATTTTCCCACAAGGTACGTGGTAGACTTCTACGATGGGAAGCCGCCTGAAGAGACAGCTCATTTGCCTCTTTCCCAACAACCAGTATCGATTTTCGTTGATGCCAGACCCGCCATCTCATCGGTTGGCCACCTGTGGGATCGACTACGCCTCTGGAAAGGCTGGTCGTGATGTGTGTCATGAGTTTCTGCAACGTTTTTGTGGGGTTGGGGGAGCCGGGATAGGGAGGCTAGTCTTGAACGCAGTGTGGGAGGGAAAATATGCATATGGTCAACCACATATGTTGGTGACAATATGGAAATTTCTGAGGAAATTTTGGGAAATTTCTCGTTGGTTTCTGTACACTTTTACTCGAATTCGTGTCTGAGTTTGCATCATTAGTGAGGAAACTCCTGAGCTCAGCTGAGGAAAGCAAATATATCAAGACTGTTGTTTGAACAGATTTAGGCATCCCTAGTGGTTGCTTTTTGTTGCTGTTGTTGGTCGCGCCCCTCCGCATTGCTGGTAGTAATACCACCGAACCGTTCTGAAAGCAAATCGTCACTAAAATCCGTCCTACTGCTGTCCCCGTGTTAAATCCCAGTAAGCGTAGACGCACAGTGAAGACTGCCGCAGATCACCAGAGCAAGAAAGAGGAATCTACAAATCTGACAACTACTACACGAGACAGGTAATGGGTGGGTCAACCAGTGTGGGGGGAAAATATGCGCATGGTCGCCCACATATGTTGGTGACAATATGGAAATTGTGAGGGAATTTTTGGAAATTCTTGGTGATTTCTGTATATTTCTACCCTTGTTTGTCTATGAACTCCTATAGTTAGTGAGGAAACTCTTTTAGGATCAGCTGAGGAAAGCGATTATATATATTACGACACTGTGTGTAGGTGAAATTTGTGGAAATTTTGAGGAATTTTTCATTGGTTTCTTTACATTTTTACCCGTATGTAAACTTGTATAATTAGTGAGGAAACTTCTGGACTCAGCTGAGAATAGCGAACATAAATTCCATCAACACTGAGCTGGAGGTCGCGGGTTCGAATCCCAGGGCGGGCATTTCTGTCAGTGCACCGGTGGCGATGCTGCATGGTCAATCGTTGGCTACAACTCCGCCCAGTGGATGTCATCACGAACTAGCTTTCTCGGAGGACACCGGTAATAGGGTCCATATTGGGCCTGTTCTGAATCTTTTTTGTGGGGCTCATTATGAATCTTTCAGATGCTGATTCGTGCTCCGACGATTGCGGCTGGATCGCCTGGTACTGTAGCCTAAAGGTAGTTATTGTAATAAGGATGATGTTATTAGTAATTTGTATATAAAATAATACAATTTAATCATTGGAGTTTCTTCTGTTTCACATGAAGTGGCGTAATACCCGATATTCGCGGCGCTATGCAGTAGTTGTGAAATATGTTTTTCACCAGTGTTTTTCATATCACTAGGGTGAAACTCCAGTGATATTTTATATTGATATTTCAATGATTAGATAGTACCATGGTTGGTGTTTATAAGCACTCTTCAGGGACACGAAATGTTCGCTGAAGTCGACGAGGATTACATCAGAGACGCTTTCAACCTGTATGGTTTACGTGCTAAAGTCCAGGTAGCGCTTCGCTCCTCTCATTTTTCACATTTTCATTGGCCTTAGTTCTACGATCATGCGCTGGAGATGATACTGAGTGATGAACGACCCGATGAAGAAGACCTCGCTGATAATGTAAGTCGGTGAGGCAGCATGCGGGGAGATACAATGGAGTTTCACCCGTTTTACGTGAAGTGGCGTAAAACTCTGTGAAAAACGCGCTATTCTCGGTATGCAGTAGTCGTGATTTTCCTAACTAGTGTTTTTCATATCACTAGCGTGAAACTCCAATATGTAAATAAATATTTTTCTTCTCGGGCAGCCCTTTTTTCAAAAAGCAGATAGTCAGTCTAGGAGTATTAAATGCTTAAAAACGATGAAGTAATTGATCGTAATTGTGATAAATACTAAGTGGAGTTTCACCCGTTTTACGTGAAGTGGTGAAAAACGCGATATTTGCGATACGAAGTGAATTTAATACATTTCGCGAATTACACCAGTCCGATTACCCCATCTGGCATGAAACCGGAGTAGATGAGAATAGGCGCTCAACCCAACTGGGTAGGCCTTGAGAGCAGCTTATCCAATTCTTCATATACTCAACAGTGTTCCACATGAATAATACATGAACCGGTTCATGCGAGATGTGCATGAAGATACTCATACAAATATATAACGTGCGCAACCAGGGAGGGAGATCCTCCGAAAAACTCGCAGCATTTCACATGTTTTACGCGTAATTCACTACTCGCATGTGTTTTGGCGCGAAGTGAAAGGTGAAATATGCTTTTCACTAGTGTTTTCTTCATATCACGAGGGAAACTCTAATATAAACAATATATTCATGTTATTAGTATCTGCGTATTTTAGCAGTTTTTGCTCTGCAGGATTTTCTGGAAATTTACAGGGAAGCGGTTGACCTGTATGGTTTGATACACGCGCGGTATTGCCTTACTCCTAGAGGCTTATCTGTGGTGAAGGAGAAATATCTGCGAGGTAAGAAGAGTAGTGCTGGAATATATGTTTGGTTTTTTTTCAGCTGAGGAATTTCCGCAAGACATTATTAAAATTCACAAACGACTTGGGGAAGAAGTGTACAAAAACCAACAATGGACTTGCACCCGTTTTACGTGAAGTGGCGTAAAACTCGGTGAAAAACGCGATGTTCGCGGTGATATGCAGTAGTCGTGAAATATGTTTCTCACTGGTGTTTTTCATATCACTAGGGTGAAACTCCAACAAGACCATGTGCATATTATCCTACACTGTAGAAGAGATCGTGTATACTATTTCGGTGCTATTTTCAGGGGATTACGGTACGTGTCCGCGCGTCTATTGCAACGGCCAGCATGTGCTGCCAACCGGAAGGGTGGGGGAGGAGCTGAGGGTTGAACCTGTGAAGGTAGGTCAATTTCGTGGCGCGCGGTAATTTTCATGCTGCTTCAGCTGTACTGTCCTAAATGCGAGCAGCTATACGTCCCTCGGCAGAAGCATGCTCACCTCGATGGTGCTTATTTTGGAGCATCTCTACCTAGTCTGTTCTTCCAGGTGAGAGCCTCAGTTACTGCCAAGATTAGAATCCGGAGGGAAATCCCGTTCATAACGTTGAAAAAAATCATAGTCGAATTCTGGCGGGTGCATACAGTGCGTGCCAATATGATATGCAAATGTGGAGAATGTCTGTTTTCTATTTGAAGGTTGATGATAGTGAACAACTCGTCGCTATCATAGTCTCGAAAGGTTACTTCTATCACATCACATGTTCATAGCAATATTAACAGCGTATATGCGATATACTTTTGGATCGATTCTCATTAATCTCCTAAAATGAAGCCTTATTTCACATTTGCATATCAAATTTACACGCATTTTTGAATTCCTCCTGAGATTCTCTGACCAGTATTATCTGCTGTCAGACCTTGCCGAAGTTGATCCCAGCAGAAGTGCCTGCATACTTTGAGCCACGTGTGTTCGGTTTCAAAGTACACAATAGACCGTAAGTTCATCCCCCAGCCGAGCTTATTGATAGTTAGTTGTTTCCCTGTAGATCAGTAGTGTTGAAGAAACTCCAAAGTGACGTCTCCAAGGGCGCCTCATATATCGACTTTCAAGGGTATAGCAACGCGGCAGGTCAGCGAGGCGTACCATGGTGTGGGGTCGATGTTGCTTTAGTAGGCCCGTACCCTTTCCCAACAGATCCGGCTGATGACCATCTATTGAGCGAAGAAGATTCACAATAGAATACTCAAGCAACGTCGCATTGTCTGTCTCATTGGGCTTGTCAGTATCATCTTGCCCTTGTGTTCCTCATTAACACGGTCAATATCCCCCTCTTTGACGTAGCAACATCGCTATCGTTGTATTCGGTAACTCGCATGATCTTGATAGTATCCAATACTACGTCATCAATCACAGCAAAGTATGGACTATGACGAGACTGCATCGAGAGTATCCCCTTTTCCCGTATGCCCTTTCGACTCTAATACTGCATTCATCTTGTGCAAAGTTCCGCAGTCACACTGGAGTCTCTCGGCGCTGGCAGGTGGTCACTCTGAGTTCTACGCGGAATACATTTTTTGTTTCGGACGAAGCACATCCGCACCGTGTGGATCTATGGCGAGGTAGACGATACTCCGGTTCATCGCAGCCTAGATGTCCCAAGAAGACTTATCCTTCATGGATTAATCCACGAGGCACCTTCTGTTAGTGATTTGCCCATTAAGATAACACTACACTGGATATAATTGCGGGACGATGCCTTACAATGTCGGATTATACTTAGCCGTCGAGGACTATCTTCATCATAAGCTTAGCTAAGGGATTTCTTCAGCCCAGAGACATATTGTGT